TCTTGTGGACAGTCATCAGATGATTAGTGACAATGAGAAACTATGTGAAAATAATGAATATGGAAAAACCCAGAGCATTCACCTTATTCAATTTACAAGAACTGAGACAGAAGATAAATCCTGTGGGTTTAGCAACAATATTCAATCTTTTAGCCATAGTACACCTGTAAATATACATGAGAAAATACATACAAGAGGAAAACCCTTTGATGTTAAGGAATGTGGGCAAGTTTTAAACCATAGCATATCCCATAATGAACAACAGAAAATTCCTGTTGAATATAATTGTAGTAAAATCTCTGAGAATTCATTTCTTGCTCCAAACATGAAAAATTCTGAAGAGAAACCCTTTGAATGTAACCAATGCAGGAAATCCTTCAACTGGAGCTCTCATCTTGCTGCACATCAGAGAACGCATACAGGGGAGAAACCTTATGAATGTAATGAATGTGGGAAATCCTTCAGCCGGAGCTCTCATCTTGTTTCCCATCAGAGGACTCATACTGGAGAGAAACCTTATAGATGTAATCAGTGTGGGAAGTCCTTTAGCCAGAGCTACGTCCTTGTTGTGCATCAGAGAACTCATACTGGAGAGAAGCCTTATGAATGCAGTCAGTGTGGAAAGTCATTCAGGCAGAGCTACAAGCTTATTGCACATCAAAGAACTCATACGGGAGAGAAGCCCTATGAATGTAATCAATGTGGGAAATCATTTATCCAGAGCTATAAACTTATTGCACATCAAAGAATTCACACTGGAGAAAAACCCTATGAATGCAACCAATGTGGAAAGTCCTTCAGTCAGAGTTATAAACTTGTTGCCCATCAGAGAACACACACAGGAGAAAAACCCTTTGAATGTAATCAATGTGGGAAATCTTTTAGCTGGAGTTCCCAGCTTGTGGCACATCAAAGGACTCATACTGGAGAGAAACCCTATGAATGTAACGAGTGTGGAAAATCTTTCAACCGCAGTTCACACCTTGTTATGCATCAGAGAACTCATACAGGAGAAAAACCCTATGAATGTAGTCAGTGTGGGAAGTCATTCAGCCAGAGTTATGTTCTTGTTGTACATCAGAGAACTCATACTGGGGAAAAGCCCTATGAATGCAGTCAGTGTGGGAAATCCTTTAGGCAGAGTTCATGCCTTACTCAACATCAGAGAACTCATACTGGGGAGAAGCCCTATGAATGTAACCAATGTGGGAAAACATTCAGCTTGAGTGCTCGACTTATTGTACATCAAAGAACACATACTGGAGAGAAACCCTTTACATGTAATCAATGTGGGAAAGCTTTCATTAATAGCTCTAAACTTATTAGGCATCAGGCAACTCATACTGAAGAGAAACCCTATGAATGTAACTAGTTTGAGATTTTTGTTAGCCAGAGTATATTCCTTCATTCCTTCCTCCCTTCCAAGGAAACATATGTATGGAAAAACATGGATAAGATTAATGTATGCAGAAAAGATTTCCAATAACCCTATTATGTATCTGGAAATTTGTTCTAGAGAAGAAAGGAGGAACTATAGACCATATTTTAAAAAATATATATGTTTTTACTGATTTTAGAAAAGCATCAATTGGCTGCTTTCTGCACACCCCTACTGGAGATTGAGCCCACAACCCAGGCATGCATCCTGACTAGAATTGAAAAGGTGACCTTTTGGTTCATGGGACAATTCTCAACCAACTGAGCCACTCCTGTCAGTCGGGTTCTCACATTTTATTTAAAAATTCTGCATACAAAATCAAACAGTATGAAACCTTCTGAGCAAAAATAATACACTTTGATACTTTTCCTTGCAGAAAGCACTTAGAAAGAATTGCCGTTAAATGGACAATATGCTGTGGAGTAGTTGCCAATAATATAGACCTCTTTTCCAATAAAAAGAAGCACTGGTGGTGGTGAACAGGTTGAAAAATTACTGAGGTTATTAGAGATTGAGTTGGAAAACAGTAGTTCAGTGTACCATCTGACAACATGATTTCTTCACTATTTTATATTCCCTTTCATGCAGAACTTTCTCTTATACAGAGGGTTTTGTAAAAATTGGGAAAATCACTATGATGCAAAATGAAAAATGCAGGACAAGAGTTTGGAACATTTATTTCTAGAACCATTATGATAAGATATTTATGTGTGGATCAAAATTAAAAGGGATTCTAGGTGTGTCTACTGTATTTTCCGGAGTATAAGACGACCCCCTAATTTTACAGTTAAAACATAGGTTTAGGTGTATATTCACTGTATAAGACTACCCCCCCACTTCAAAGAAAAGACCTACTTTGCCGTCAAGATCTGCAGGTAATTTTTGTGCAATTTTGGTCTTTTGCCCCCGATTTTCGGTTGACTTTTTTTCATTTCAAAAGTCGTCTTATACACTGGAAAATACAGTAGTTTTTAGGTTTATTCTTGGCCTTTTTGAATGCATACTATTTTGATATAATAAGTGATATAATGAGTAAAAATTAGTCAAAAGCAAGCAAGAAAGATTTATTTTCATTTTCTTTGAACATTTAGGAAAGACCAGACAGCCAGATGACAGATACTCCTCAGGGTTCTGAAGTTTCCATTGGATTAATATTATCTGGACACTTGGGTAGAACCTAGAGTTCTTTGGAATACTCCTCATTGAAAATGAAATATTCTCATGGGAATATGGTACTGGAACTTTAGGCCAGGAAGAATTTTATGTATCGAGACTTCGTTGCATGGGCAGTGTAAGAACAGGTGGGCTTCTTTGGCCCCCCACCCCATATAGATTATCTTTTTTTCCTTGAAATATGTTTCTTTTTATTGATTTCAGAGAGGAAGGGAAAGGGAGAGAAATATAGAAACATCAATGATGAGAGAGAATCATTGATCAGCTGCCTCATGCAAGCACCTGGGGATTGACTTTGTAACCTGGGCATGTGCCCTTGACCAGAATCAAACCCAGGACCCTTTAATCCACAGGCTGATGCTCTATCCACTGAGCCAAACCAGCTAGGGCTGAGATGTGTTTCTTAATATGAGAGTGTTCTGAATGGGAAGGCACTGCCCTGGCTAAGTGCTCATCGCCTAAATTAAGCTCACAGGAAAGCTTTTATGGAGGTAAAATTGGTAGCTTCTCATTGATTTTTCCCCCCTTAGATTTGGTTCACATGTCTTTCTGACCTTTCCTCCTAAATCATGAATTTTAATTCTGTGGATTATAGACCTGAAACCTCTAATCCCAGAGTTAATAAAAATAATAATAATTTTGATAGTTGAAGTGAGAATAGAGGTAAATTCCCTGGAGAAAGAAAAGGGTAAAATGACATCTAATAAGGGGCTTTCCTTGTAAAATATGTTCCTATAACATGACTTTAACTGGAGTCATTTTTTTTCTTTTTTTTAATCAATCTTCATTGTTCATATTATTACAAAAGTTCCTCATTTTCCCCCCCTTCCACTAGGTTTCTACCCCACCCTCTGCCCTTTTCCCACCCCCCATTGTCCTCATCCATAGGTGCATAGTTTATGTTCAGTCTCTTCCCGCATCCACCACTCCCCTTTTCCCCAAGAATTGTCAGTAACTGGAGCCATTTCTGAGGATTAAGTCAATGAAACACACCTGGTAGTGATTGAAGTTCTGGGAGAACAAGTGTTAATGTCTGGAAAACTGGCTCCTCACCCCAAGAGAATCTTCAGTTAGTCCATAACTGTACAGATAATGGGACACAGGGATTCTCCATGCATTGCCTTTTGGAGAGGACATAAGATTATGAAAATTCTAAGTTAGAAAGAAAAGAAAAAATTCTAAGTTAGCAATGGGACATTATTATCCACCTCCTCCGTTATTATCTCTCTGTATATAAAAGGCTAAGTGACCATCCAATTGGTCACTAATCAACAGGGGGAAGACTCGACACAGGAGCTGCTGAGCTGCAGTGACTTGGCAGTTCTCAAGTGATGCACCTCAGAACCAGAGAAGAGGGAGTCCTGTTCTGAGGTGGGTCACCCAAAAACTGCCATCTTGCAACCCAGGGCCCTTTGGAGGATGTTGGAGAGCCGGTTTCGGCCCAATCCCCACAGGGTAGGCAGAGGGACCCCATCTGCTGGAGGGACCCTGCTCACTTCACAGACACCCTTTGAGCTGTGGTGCTGCCCTAGCTGTGACCAGCTGGGGAGGGGCTCTGGGAGGTTTGCTCCAGGGCGTGTCTGGCCCCTCTTGTTCAGTCCCACCCCACTGGCCACCTTCTAGTTAATTTTCTTACATTGTGCACAAATCTGTGCACCAGGACACTAGGTGTAGATAAAATCAATGCTAATGCTAGGTACAAGTGGATTATTTCCTCGGGCACGTTGAATTTTACTTTGAAGGCAAGGAACTATGATTTTACAAATACATATAAAGCTAGGTGGCCTAAGAAGAAGGACCGTGAAGATTTCAAGTTTGGTAAGTGATTTATTGCAAAGTAATCTCTTGATTAAGTGTTAAAAACATTTCATTGAAAATGAAGTTTCTGAAATGGCAAAAATTTTTTGAATGGAGTATGTGTTTGGCTGTGTGTGTGCTACTGGCCAGGTTGAATATGTGAGTCATCTGTGTTTATTATATCAGTTCCCAGATGGTGATTTGTGGTTGCCACGTATTTTGATTAAGATATATTCAATAAATAAAAATATTAATTTCTGGGGAAAAAATTTAATTTCTGTTATTTTCCCAATAATTTCCCTTTATAGGAAAGATAGTCTTTTAATTAAAAAATGGTCAACCAAAAATGCTTCAGTAAAAATAAGCTTTGGTCACTGAGCCATTTCAACCAGGCAGTTACAATTCTATTTACTAGTTTTGCAATGTAAAAAGAATTAGAGGCAGGACCGGTTTGGCTCAGTAGTAGAGCATCAGCCTGCGGACTGAAAGGTCCCAGGTTCAATTCCTGGCAAGGGCATGTACCTTGTTTGCGGGCACATCCCCAGTAGGGGGGGTGCAAGAGGCAGCTGATTGATGATTCTCATCGATGTTTCTAACTCTATCCCTCTCTCTTCCTCTCTGTGAAAAATCAATAAAAAATATATTTTAAAAAATAAAATTAAAAAGAATTAGAGACAATATTAAGAGGCTCTTGGAAATCCTGCAGTGCAGCCTTAATAGCTTCTAGTTCGATTCTTTGTACAGAAATATGACTGGTCAGTATGACTCGGTCTGAATTCATTGTATGATAGGCAGCTTTCCCATTAGATGATCCATCAGTAAAAACAGTTAAAGCTCCAGGAATAGGTTCCTGCCTAGTATTTTTTTTTATATAATGATGGAGATATAAAAATTGTAGTAATTTATCTTTTAATAGGTGACATCTAAGTTCCCCTGAATATCCACTTAACCCAATTTGCCAATTTATATCAGTCTGAAATAACATTTCTAATTGCTTCCCAGTGAGGGGGAGGTAGCTACACTGGGGCTCTTCCCCTCTAAGCTGTTTACAGTGCTTTCTAATCTGAAATATTAACTGAGCCAATATATATCTCCAATTTTAGAGGATTGATGCCCTAGGTCGGTGGTTGGCAAGCCGCGGTTCAAGAGCCACATGCAGCTCTTTGGCCCCTTCAGTGTTCCAATGCCACTTCTTCAAAATAGTAGCCCAGGCCGAAAACCGACTTCTACACATGGGCCACAAAGTTTCACTCGCACTGTATGTGTGCATCCACATGTGGTAATTTGTGGAAGAGCCACACTCAAGGGGCTAAAGAGCTGGATGTGGCTCTCGAGTTTTCTGACCACTGCCCTAGGTGAACCCATTCAATAATGGCAGAAGAGTTTATTTTGAAAGATGACTCCAGTGGGACTGTTTGCAGTAGGGTTAATTTGTCCCAATAAAGGTAATTCAGGCTCTACCCATGCTCCTTGGGCTGAGGAAATTGCCTGCTCAACTCTCAGGACTCATTATTAGCTTCATCTGTTAATGTTCGGGCAGAGGAGAGTTTGAGTCACCTCTAAGTATATTAAATAAATTTGTCATTTCTCCTGTAGAGATCTTCAGATAAGATCTTAACCAGTTAGTGTCCCCTAATAATTTCTGAAAGTTATTTAAAGTTTTAAGACAGTCTTTTCTTATTTCCACCTTCTGAGGCCTAATGCTTTGGTTTTCAGTTTTGCTTCCCAGATATTGGAAAGGTTTCTTTCTGTACCTTCTCTGGAGCAATTCTTAAGCCCCATTTAGGGAGCTCCTCTTCTAATTGGGAGAACATGGCCAAGGTCTGTTCTTCCCGTGGACTTGCTAAGAGCAAGCCATCCATGTAATGAATAATGTAACACTGGGAGTATTTGTCCCTTAAAGGCTGAACAGCTTGAGCCACATGTTATTGACACAAAGTAGGGCAATAGGCCATTCCTTGAGGTAAAACCTTCCATTGATATCTTTTTTTTTTTAAATAAATTTTTATTGTTCATATTATTACAAATGTTCCTCCGCCCCCCCTCCATTGCTCTCCTCCACCAGGTTCCCATCCCACCCTCTACCCTTTCCCCACTCCCCATTGTCCTCATCCATAGGTGCCCAGTTTATGTTCAGTCTCTTCCCACACCCCCCTCTCCCCTTTTCCATAAGAATCCTCAGTTCACTCCCCTTGCATACCTCTGATTCCATTATATTCAACAGTTAATATTGTTCATCAGATTTTTTTTTAATTTCCTTGTTTTTTAGATTCACTTGTTGATAGTTACGTATTTGTTGTTCATAATTTTTATCTTTATTTACTTTCTCTTCCAAAAGAACCCCCTTCAGCAATTCATATAATTCTGGTTTGGTGGTGATGAACTCCTTTCGCTTTTTTTTTATTTTTTTATTAGTGAAGCTCTTTATCTGGCCTTTGATTCTGAGTGATAGCTTTGCTGGGTAGATTATCTTTGGCTGTAGGTTCTTACTATTAATCACCTTGAATATTTCTTGCCATTCCCGTCTGGCCTGCATGATTTCTGTTGAGAAACCAGCTGACAATTGTATAGGTGCTCCTTTATAGGTAACTACCTTCTTTGCTCTTGCTGCTTTTAATATTCTCTCTTTGTCTTTTGCTCTTGGAATTTTAATTATGATGTGTCTTGGTGTGGTCCTCTTTGGATTCCTTTTGTTTGGAGTTCTGTGCACTTCCTGGACTTGTAAGTCTAATTCTTTCACCAGTTGGGGGAAGTTTTCTGTCACTATTTCTTTCAGTATGTTTTCGATATCTTGCTCTCTCTCATCTTCTGGGACCCCCATAATTCTGATGTTGGTTTACTTGAAGTTGTCCCAGAGGTTTCTTACATTATCTTCAATTTTCTGGATTCTCTTGTCTTCTTGCTTCTGTGGAGGAGTGTCTTCTGGCTCTTTATGTTCCAAATCTTTGACTTGATTCTTGCAATCTCCCATTCTGTTTTTAGGACTCTGTATAATATTTTTTTTATTTCAGACAATGTATTCTTTATTTCTTGTTGATCCCTTATCATTTCTCGTTGATTCCTTATTAATTCTAGTTGATCCCTTTTCATATCCTCATAGGTCTTATCGACCTTTTCTAGGAAATTTTTGAAAAACCTTATAAGCGTGGATTTGAACTCTATATCCAGTCGCTTTTTGTCCTCCATTTCTTTTGTTTGTAATCTATTTCGTTGTCGCATTTTTGCAGCTTCCCTGATGGGGCGGAGTTTCAGGGTGGAGCCTACAGCCTTGGCTTCCATCAGCCCCGCCCTATGCGGCTCCTGAGTCTCAGGGTCCTTCAGTACTCGCTGCAAGCGCCTCTGAGAGAAAGGTGCCCTCAATTTTCGCCTGCTACCAAACAGTCTAGGCTCTCCCCCAATTAGCCCAGAACTGGGGTTCAGTTCAGTTGGAAGTGGGATTAGAGGTGGCGTTCAGAGCAGTCTGGAGCCCCAGTCTCCTTCCCGCCAGGGCAATTCCGCGGCACAGCCAACCGTCCCTTTTCTGCGCGTGCGCTGCCGGGACCTCCTTTCGCCGCTCCCCCGGGGTTCCGCCTTACAGCCCGGCTCCCTATGGATGAGTCTGGGTCCCAGGGGTCTGGCCTAGAACTGGGGTTCAGAGCAGTCGGAACTGGGGTCCAGCACAGTCAAAGCTTTTATCTCCTTCCCACTAGGGAACGCCAGCCAGGCACTCGGCCGCCCTTCTCCCCGGCTCTGTCCTCTCCACGCTCGCCGCGTGTCTCCGTACCTTAGGCTTTTACAGCTCCTCTGCTCTTCCTTCTGGTTTTCTCCTTGCTTCTCGTTGTAGAATTTCCAGTCAGTCGACTTTCCTGTAGTTCTGGGTAATGTCCATTTTATATTTTAGTTGTATTTTATTGAAATTGTTGTGTGAGGCTGCGGTTAGGTATTTACCTGGCAGCCATCTTGGATTCTCCCCATTGATATCTTTTCATGGGTTCTATATTATTTATAGATGGCACTGAAAATGCAAATCGCTGTTTATCTTGAGATGCCAAGGGAATGGCGAAAAAATAATCTTCAAGATATACTACCCTGAGAGACCAACTTAAAGGGATTTGTGAAGGCGCTGGGAGTCCAGGTTGTAAAGCTCCCATGGTATGCATAGTAGCATTAACTGCTCTAAGATCATGTAACAATTGCCATTTTCCTGTCGCCTTTTTAGGGATTGTAAATATAGGCATATTCCAGGGACTATTGGAAGGTTCTGTGTGACCAGCTTCTATTTGTTCTTGTATTAATTCATGACTATGACTTAATTTCTCCTTGGTTAATGGCCACTGATCCACCCATACAGGTCTATCACCTTTCCATTGTATAGGATCAGCATGAGGGTGAGGAGACTGAGCAGTGACAGCACCTTCAAAAGCTGATATCCTAATCCTCATCTTCCTGAGTTTCCTTTGGCTTGGATGGGCTCTTTAATTCCCTGATCATTTTTTCCTAAGCCTTGACTAGTCTGATATGCCATCTGAGTCATTAACTGCTGTCCTTGGCCGGTAATAACACGTGTCTATATACCTTCCAAGACATCCCGGCCCCATAAGTTGACTGCAGTTCCAGAAACGATGTCGGGCTGAAACCATCCCGTCTGTCCTTCCCTATCTTGCCACCTTAACACTGCAGCACTATGTTGTGTATTATCAGGAACTCCCACCCCCCTAACTGAGCCCAAAGCTTCTGCTGTGGACCAACTTGGAGACCAGAATTCTTTGCTGATAACACTGGCATCCACTCCAGTGTCCACTAAAATTGTTTTCCCTCTATTCTTTTTTTTTTCCCCCCTAAGTAAGAAATGCTTTATTTTAAGACAAAGGTACTAGGAAAAACACATCCAAATGCAAGTGAGAGACTTCACTGGATATTTTAAAAGAGAAAGGTGTGCATTAAAGCCAGAACCATCGTAGAGATATGCCTGCTGTTTGTGGTGACAAAGTTACGTGTGTTTGCCTGAGAAGTCTTTCTGTGGTGGCATAAATGTGGGACTGCATGACAAGAGCGAAGCAATACAAGGTAGAATGGCAAGTGGGTGAAAGCTCTAACGTGCTCTTGTTCTTTTTTTTTTTTTTTTTTTTTTTAATTAAAGGAAGCCGTCACAAAGACCTTACTGTCAAAGAACACTTGCAAAAGTTGAAAACGGATGTGAGGTTATTACTAAAGTATATCAGCAAGGTTAGTGGGGGGAAACATTTGTGTTCTCAAAAACCAGGCTTCCCACAATAACAGGCACTGAAACTAATTGTGTATGCTTAGAGTAGGAGAATACTCTTAATAAAGGCTGGTCTTTTTCATGAAGCGCAGGAATTCTTGTTTATTGGCCTCCCCATCTCCATCTCGATCAGCTTCGTCAGTCATTTCCTGAAGCTCCTCATCAGTGGTGTTCTCACCCAACCCTGAGGCTACACGTTTGAGATTGTTGAACAATATGGTCCCAGTTTCATCACCATCAAAAAGCTCGAAAGCTTTCAGGATTTCTTCTTTGCTCTCTTTCTCACATTTTTTTGAGTTATCACAGTCAAGAAGTCATTGAAATTCATTCTTCCTGTCCCTTATCAGTTTCACTTATCATCTTCGTAATCTCTTCTTTCTTGGGATCAAAGCTCAGTGCTCTCATCACCACCTTCATTTCCTTAACATCAATGTCCCAGTTGCATCAGTTATGGAAGAGGTAAAAAGCTTGACGGATCTCCTGTATCTGCTCGTTAGAAAGCTCCAGCTTAGGACTCACCCTTTTTCACGGGGAAGATGGTGCCATGTCTGCCTCAATGCTAGAGGCCTTTGGGGAATCCGTGTCTTCTTTGCCCTGGAACAGTTTGCGGAGAGGGCCAGGGAAGCCTGGTGAGCATGTGGGGGCCGGGTGTGGGTTGAGGGGCTGTTCTTTTTTTTTTTTTTTTTTTTTTAAGAGAAGTAAGCCTTTATTTCCTTGTTTCTCAAATAGTTGGCTGAGCTGGTTGCTTTTTGGTAATTAATCAGAGAGACCAAATCCCATGTCCTTTTCCAACTCCTCCGAGTCTTCCTTTGCTTCAGCCTTGGCTGGGGCTGCAGCGGCCACAGGGGCAGCAGCCACAAAAGCAGATGGATCAGCCAAGAAGGCCTTGACCTTCTCAGCGAGTTTTTCCACACTTACAACACCTCTTATTTCCCGCTTGCTGCAGCAGCGAGTGAATCTGCTTGAAAAGTGCCTGAGCCCACATTCTGACACGCTCGAATCATTTCTGGGATGGTACTGTCTTGTCTCAGAGGCGTCAGGCATCTCTTACAATCAGCATTGGCATTTTCATAGGCTAATTGTTAAATTAAAATATCTCCTGCTGTCTCATGTTCAATCTGTCTCACTGCTCGAGTGAGACGAGCCACAAAGTCAGAAAATGACTCTGTAGGCCCCTGCACTCCCTGAAGGTCCTCTTTTGCTGGTAAATCCCACCAAGCTCTCCTTTCCACAAAGTCTAATTTGCTCATACGCCTGTAGCACATAATGTAGCTGATTTTGTACATCCATATACTATCCCAGTCCTGCCAGCATTTCATAAGTTATTTGAGCATTCGGCCCTCTATTTGCATGGGCTTGCTCTCGACATTTCTCCAAGTATTCTCCCTTCCATAGTAAATAATCTCCTCCATCCAGAGTTGCTCAAGTCAGAGA